TTTCCTGCCAGCAAGCAGATCATGATCATGATGATGATGACGATGATGACGATGATGATGGTGATGATGATCTTCAGGTGGACAATTCGCAGCCTTGGTACGTGGCCTTGGCAGTCTTGGTTTGCTTCTCGCTCTTTGTGCAAATGGCCGAGGCGGGCCCCGCTCAGCAAACCGTGAAGTATGCTGTTATAAGCTGATGCAATAAAATCAACGACAATAGAAGTATAAGACACGATAAGATAAAAAAAATGACGAAGCATGTTTGTTGTGGGATAAGCCTTTCCGGCAAGTAGCCTCTGAGGGCACCTCCTACGGCATCGTGCCCTTCATGAACAGGAAGCTTGGAGCAGTGGACGATTCACCTACGGTCGTGTTTTAGGGTTTAGGGTTTGGCAGCAACTCATCTTCGTAAAAATAGTTCTTTGTAGGAGGGTGGCGACATGCACACATCAGGAAGCAGCTTGCAGTGGTGTCCGCACTCGTGGGTGCCGGTGGAAACCTCGGGGCAGTGACACTTGGCGGCAGGCATTCTTGTAAAGGAACGCACTTGGGGCCTTCTGATGAGCGGTTGATTCCGAGAGATTGATCGTAATGCTATCTCCCACTTTACGCCTTCTCCATCGGGTTGCCCAAGTCTGCCATGTAGATTTGCGTCTCCCCAAAGTATACGGATCAGGATGATCAAGAATTTAGAGTGTCAGAGATCTGTCTGGGGCCCAGGATTGCAGGCTTCTGCTTCTACAAGCCGATCCAGGATGCCCTGCTGCCTTTCCAGGCAGGGTCGAAGTTCAAGGCTGATGTTCGTCTTGAGGTTCAGGGTTGGCTCCAGGGTCGCCGTTAAATGTTGAGCGACCGTGTGAGTGGCACAATGGAGTTAGACCCACGCACAAGCGTCATCGCTACCCACGGCCCTTGGGCTGGGCTCCTTCTTTAAAACAGGTCCATGCGGGCTATGTGATGTTTTGGGCGCTGCTGAGCCCCTGCTACTACTGGTCCGAGATGGGTGGAATGTTCCACGGACCAGCACAGAGCATCGAGAAGGCCAAGGGCCTCAAGACC